TGTAGGCGTTATTATTCCTATTTTTTAAAAAAAGATTTTATTTATTTCTCAGAAAGAGAGAGAGAATGTGCATAAGCAGGGGTAGCCACACAGGGAAAGGGAGAATTAGGCTCTCTGCTGAGCAGGGAGCCTGATGCAGGGCTCCATCCCAGGATCCTGGGATCATGAGCTGAGCTGAAGGCAGATGCTTAACTGACTGAGCCACCCAGGCACTCCTATTCTCCCAATTTATAGTTAAGATTTAGTATTAATGATTTGTCCAAGATCACACAGCTGGGATACAAAACCAGCGTCTACATCCTTGATCCTAAGCACCAAATTATACTGCCCCTTAATAGCAAAATAATAACTAAAATCCCCTTGTGCAAGGAAGTTACAAAATACACTTCTAAATAAATCATGGTTCAAAGAAGAAACCACAACTGAAATATTTTTATGTAGTGACAAAAACTGCTAGAGAAACTAAAGTAGTATTTGGGGGACATTTATATTCTCAAATGCTCATATTACAAAGATAGAATAGTTGATAACCAATGATCTAATTTTCTATCTTAAAAACACAAAGAACATAAAATTAAAGTTTCTAAAGAAGTAGAAGGAAGAAAATAAAAATGGAACAAAAATCAATGAAATGAAAAACAGATATACAACAGAGAAAATAAAGCAAAAATTTGCTTCTTTCTAAAGAATGATAAAATTGATAAATCCCTAGCAAAATTAATCAAGACAAAAATAGAGAAAATACAAATTAGCAATATCAAGAATGAAAGGGGACATCACTACAGATCCCATGGACACTGAAAAGAAAACAAGATTTTTATGTTATATATGCCAGTACATTTGGACGAAAATTTAGATGAAATGGACAAATTTCATAAAAAAGCAAACTTAACAAAACCAACTCTAAATGAAAAAGAAAATCTGAGTATCTCTTTACCTACTTAAAGAAATTAAATTCATCATTTAGGGGCCCCTGGTGGCTCAGTTGGTTGGGTGTCTCCATTCAGCTCAGGTCATGATCCCAGAGTCCTGGAATTGAGCTCCATGTCAGGCTCCCTGCTCAGTGGGAAGACTGCTTCTCCTTCTCCCTCTCCCCTCCACCCCGCCCCGTGCCCTCCCTTCCTCTCTCTCTCTCCCACTCTCTCTCTCAAATAAATAAAATCTTAAAAATAATAATAAATTCTTCATTTAAAATCTTCCCATGAGAAAAACTTAAAAAACACATATGACCTCACTATCAAACACTAAACAAAGCAAAACAACAGCAATCTTTTTTTTAAGGTTTTTTTTTTTTTAAGATTTTATTTATTTATTTGACATAACACAAGTAGGCAGAGAGGCAGGCAGAGGGAGAGGGAGAAACAGGCTCTCCACCGAGCAGAGAGCCCGTCCCAGGACCCTGGGATCGTGACCCAAGCCGAAAGCAGCCGTTTAACTGACTGAGACACCCAGGCGCCCCTTTGCAGCAATCTTTTCAGAGAACAGAAGAGGGAACAGCTTCCCAACCTATTTTAGAAATCACCATAATCCCAGGGGCACCTGAGTGGCTCTGTCAGTTAAGTATCCAACTTGTTTTGGCTCAGGCTATGATCTCAGGGTTGTGACATCAAGCCCCACGTTGGACTCTGTTCTCAGCATGGAGTCTGTTTGAGACTCTCTCCCTATACCTCTCCCATGCTCACTCTCTCTAAAACAAACAAACAAACAAACAAACAAACTAATCTTAAAAGAAAATCATCATGATCCTGATGGCAATGCCAAGAATATTTTAAGAAATGAAAATTACAGGCAAATATATCTCATGAACACAGAGTCAATAACCCTAAATCTGTTTTTTCACTCCAGGCTCAGTTCTAGGTTCTCTCTCCTCACTGTGAAACCTTTCCCTAGGATTCTATCCACACACGTGGTTTCAAAGACCATACTTAACACAGATGACTCACATTTTTCTCTTCAGTCCAGACGCTTTCCATCCACCCCACCCACCTTTATACCTCCACCCTCTCTCACCTGCACAACTAAAATGGCATCCTATACAGTCTCTCTATATCTAGTCTTGCCCTGGTCCCATCCATTTCTCCCTACACCACAATCAGGGTGATCTTTTCAAAATGCAAATCTTATCATTCTACTACTGGAAATCATCCAGTGGCTTCCTTCCCTTTTTGGACTAAAACAAAACTTTTGTCTATGAGGACCCACCTCATTCTACCCCCTCCAATTTCCTTAGCATCATTTCAAACCACTGCCACTTTGGACTCTTGGCTCCAGGCATTCTGTGTCTTATCACATGGCCCATTTTCCCTGCTCACAGTTTTGTTTTGTTTGTATCATGCTATTCTCTACCTAGACATTCATTCTTTCCCCTCAGACCCTCCTACACCAAATCCAAACTTTCTAGTATATACTTTCATAGTATCTCTATCCTTTAATTTCATCACCTATCAAATTTGCAGCTTCACATTCCATTCATGTAATGATTTGCCTACTGACTCTCTAACCCATTGGATTTTAAGCTACCTGATAGCAAGGACCTATTTCTCCTCACCATTCTATCCCCAACAGTGAAGGTTGTACCTAGCTTACAGTAGATGCTCAATAAATTATATGTTGAATTAATGAATCTTTGCCTGTAATGCATTTAATATGCATTCAATTAATGTGAAAAATTTTCAGTTTCAAAAGTATTTTAAAAGTACAATAGAAAAAAAGGAAAAAATACAGAAATCTTTTATATATCAGGTGCATATCTTACTAGCCAAATGTAAACTAAATGTTCTTCATTTGAATTTATCTCACTGTCTTATTTTTAATAGGTCAATAGAGTTTTTAAGACCTCCAAGTCTCTCTTCAAATGTCTATAACACATCACAGTTTAGCTGAACCTTTCTTCTTCCATCACTGTAGAACACAAATAACTAAATGTGGAAAGTGGTAGTAGTTAAACTTATATTTGGTAAAGAAAAGAATCCTTTCATAATATAGGTTCTAATTCTTGAATGGCTCTATTATAAAAGTTGGAACTCAGCAAATGGAGTTTCTTGAAAGCAAGTGTACCCATAACTGGGGTAGGGGGAGAAGGAAAGAAAGGAGAAGGGAGAAATGGAAGCATTTCTGGCAAGGAGCAACAAGAAAACAAGCTCTCGTGCTGCTGTTACTCTCTCCTTCTCCAGTGATATTTCTGCCTCCATTTTTCTATGACCCACCTCAAGCCAGAGAGGTGCAAAATACTGATCTGTATTCATTTGGCATTCTATTTAAGCATTAACAATAGGGTGAAACTCTAAAGCTTCTTTGACTGCAGAGATAATTCTTTAAAAGGAATTAAGTTGGTACAATAGTATACATTGTTAAAAAGTTAATACTAGCTCCAATTTATTTTACTTACATTCTTTAAAATCAGCTTAATTTTCATGACTCTGGTCAGGCAAAAAAAATACTACAGTAAAAAATGAATATCGGATTGACTGCTAAGAGGTATGGGATTTCGTCTGAGGGAATAGATATTTTCAAGAGTTAAATTGCGGTGATGGCTGAACAACATAATGAATATATGAGAAACCACTGAATTGTAAATTTTTAAATGGCAACTTTTATGTGAATTACATCTCAATTTAAAAAATGAAGTTATTATGAGGAGCCTTCAAAGTTAAAACTGTTTTCTTCTCTAGTAATCTAAGGTTATGAAGAAATAAGACATTCATCCTTAATTAGGAATAAAGAGTTTTTCAAGCTGGCACTAAGGACAAAAGTACCAAAAATTCTAAGATAATATCTGGAAGTTTCTTCTTAATTTCCCCCTTTCCCTAATCACCATGCTTCTTTTTGTGGAGCCTTCTCATTTCACCCGATATTGCTTACTAAAAATCAATGACGTTTAAAAATACACAAAGCTGGGGGCACCTGGGTGGCTCAGTCATTGAGTGCTCTGCTCAGGTCCTGATCCCGGGGTCCTGGGATAGAGCCCCCCCCATCAGGCTCCTTGCTCGGGGGGGGGGGGGGGGGGCGGGGCGGGGCGCTGCTTCTCCCTCTCCCACTCCCCCTGCTTGTATTCCCTCTCTCACTGTGTCTCTGTCAAATAAATAAATAAAATCTTTTTTAAAAAAGACACAAAGCATCCCAAATCAGGCGAGGGTTTTTCTCCTTCATCAATGTAATTTGTCTCAAGCTTGGATTTTCTAGAAACTTCTCATGGATGTGAGAACAGCTGGCTTCTTTTCTCTCAGATTCTCCTCCACCAAGTCAACAGGGTTTTGTTCCAAAATCAAAATACAGCTGAATTAACTTTTCAAAACTTAGCCGATATAGGCTCTGATCCTGCCAATTTAAGGGAAGTACTGAAAGCTTAACTGAGGTTCAAGAAGCAAAAAACAAACAAACAAAAAAAAGCAGGTCGATTCTTTTAACCTGTAATAATCTGTTCCTTACCTACTTCTCCAGCTTTGTGTCAAACGACATCCTCACCTTGCAGTCTCGGTCCCAGCAACTTCATTTATTCCATTTCTCCTGCCATTCACAGGGCCTTTGCACATGCTATTTCCTCCCCCACAAGACATTCTCTTCTCCCCTTTATCTAGTTGATTCCCACTCATCTTTAAAATATTCTTGGACCTAGCCAAACTAGCAAGGGAAGAATCTTCTCCGCCCTGTCACCAGGAGGACATTCAATACACGTGGAAAGTTCTATCTCTGCCAAAGAGGTTCCAGGGCACCCTAGACGTGATTTCATTGTGATAGACCTCTCAGGATTTTCGAAAAGCTAACGGCGGGCTGCCAGACCATCGCACAGGCTTTCTCCAATGCCTGGAGGTTCACAGGCCGGGGTTGGGGTGGGGGGCGCTGGGGCGAGCGGACACTCGGTGGGTCAGGCGAGGGATGCAGGGTCGCCCGGGCGCCGCTCGCGTCGTTCCCTGCCAGGCTTGCGGGGAGAGTACCCCAGCGACCCTCGGTTTCCCCACCCGGACCCCACGCGCCACCCCCGGCACCCTGCGCACACTCACCATCCGCCCGCACCGAGAGGCGCGGCAGACCGAGCAGGAGCAGCGCCGCGGCCCAGAGCTGGGCGCGGGGGCCGCGTCCCTCCGCAGCCATGGTCGGGGCGTCCACGCGCGGCTGGCACGAGCGCGGGCTCCCGCGGCGGGAGCGGCTGCGCGGCCACTGCCCCTCGTGCTCCACTCGGCTGTGCGCACTGCGCTATGCTCCGCGGGCTTCGCGCCCCGCTCGCGGGAGGGAGGAGCGCGCACAGCTCAGGGAGGCCGCGCGCCCGGAGCTGCCGCGTTGGGGCCCCTAACTCCCGGGGGTCTCGTCCGAGGCGCCGGGGAGGCGGCTGGACCCGGCTGCGCCTTCGTGCCGGGCACCTGGAGGCATCGGTACCAAAAGAGCCAGCGCCGGACGCCGAGCTCCCGGGGCGCCGCCGGGGCGGAGGGTAAGGGCGCGGGGAGGCGGGGAGAGCACAGAGCCGGCTGCAGGGAACCCCCGCCTGCCCCGGGGACCCTCGGCGAAAGGGTAACGCAGTCTGAGAGGCCGGGCTCTCCGGGAGGACCGTTCAAAACCGAATGTCTAATTCTGCCCTCTGCCTCTTGACTTTGCAGTTGGCGTCCTCCCACAGAGCAGGAGCATGTGTATGAAAAAGAAGACTCTAACTTGCCAGCCTCACTCTGAGGAGTGAAACGCACGCAACAGCGAGACTCCTCCTAAAAGCGTGGCTTGAAAGTCCCTCAGAGAGGAGCGTCTTCCAGACGCTTCCTTCACGACCTTTCAAGGTACGCCCTAACGTTTCTCAGCACCCACAGCGCCAGCGCGGTTGTCACCGTTTTCACACCTTCCAAATCAAGGCTTCCTTGACCTTGACCCAGGGCCCAAATTCCGGATTCTGTTGGTCAGGGCTGGGAACACACATTCTAAAGTGTCCCACCGAATTCTGCTGCAGGATCCCCTGCTCTGGATTGGTTCCTTTTCCCCATTCACCCCCTGTCCTGTTCATAGCATTAGCATCATTCAGCGAGAGGAGGAGGATTGGCATTCTTCGTGCGTGGAGTAATAAAGATCAGTATTGTAACTGGGGCATCCGTGACACTGTACAGTTTACAAATCCCTTCCACCTTAACGTACTGGTCAGCAGATACGTGTAGTGAGTGCCCAGAGTGTGCCTGACCCTGTGGGGGTCTCCTATCTGTCCAAAAAAAATGTTCAAACTTAAATGACAGGTACTTAAGGAAGATGAACAAGTGATTGGTGCTAAAAGGAATAGACGTTTGTCCCCAAGACAATGAACTAGGACACAAACATTGAAAAGCTACCTACTTTCTTTTCTAGGGTAAAAACTAGAATTTGAACGCACATTTGGTTTACTACGGGTGTCATTTTTCAACTCATATATTTTTGAAGTGTACCGAAAAGATAATCTCCTCTCCTTGTTCCGAATGTCAACGACAATTAATTCCTTTGTAAAATAAAACTTTTCTTTTAGGGGCTCCTGGGTGACTCAATCCATTAATAAAATGTCAGACTTCTCAGTTCAGTTCAGGTCATGATCTCAGCGGTTGTGAGATTGAGCCCTTGGGCTCTGTGCTGAGCATGAAGCCGCCTTAAGATTCTCTCTCTCTCTCTCTCTGCCCCTGTCCTACCCTCTCCCTTAAAACACACATACACACACACACTCACACACAAACACAAAACTGTGCTTTTAAAATAAAAATGTTCTGGGGCATTAAATGCAGTGAGACCTGACCATCATTCACATGTAAGTGTAAATCAATTTACTTAGCTACTTCTCTTCTAACAGCTAGCTGGTAACCTAAGGAGTGAGACTTCACATGTCTGAGTGGGAGGGGACCTTTTAAAGCCTAATTATTGCTGAGAATGGAGGGGAGGGAGGCACCTGCTGGAGCTACTAACTGACTCTCTCAGGATCTGTGCCACTAATGTGTTTAGAATAGTCAATTGACTATTACTGTCTAATCCTAATGACATTTTAAAGTTTGTCTTTTTTCAGATCTGTCTTGGCTTGTCCTAATTTGGGGAGATGGTGTGCTCTAAAGGTTTGGTACAGCCGATTTAGAAAATTCTTTGGTACTTTCCTATACAGTTAAATATACATCTCTCCTGTGACAATTCCACCTCTAGATATATATCCAAAAGAAATAAAACTTATATCCACAGAAAGATATGTACACAAATTTCACAGCAGCTTTAGTCACAATAATTAAAATTGGAAGCAACCCAAACATCACCAACAGATGAACAGAAAAACAAACCGTATCATATTCACACAATGGACTGTTATATAGTAATCAAAAGAATGAAATACTCATACACTCAATAATGTGGTTGCTGAGTGAATTATACTTTATGATTCCATTCATAAGAAGCTCAAGAGGGGCAAAACTAATCTGTGGTGACAATAAATACTATGGTTGCCTTTGACAAGGCAGGAACACAAAGGAACTTCTGATCTAATGGAAACAGTCTTTATCTTGATGAGGATGGTAGTCACATGAGTGTATACATTTGTTAAACCTCACTAAACTGTACACTTAAAATCTGTGTGTTCTCTTGAATGTTGTTTATACTTCAATAGCAAATACTTCAAAATTCACCCCTATGAATAAGTAGGTTTAATAGAAGAAAGCTTAACAAAAGGACCACATACAGAGATGTGGGCAGGGTTGAGAGAACCAATAAGAAATGGCAGAGATCTTGGCCATCAACAGTTGGAAGCCATCACAACTCTGAGGTCTACAGGTAGGAAGGAACGTGTTACCAAAACTCAGCAAGAGCCGTGGCCATGGAAGAGGTTGCCTGAAAGGAATGTTAGCCATACGTAGAGGGACAAAATTGCTGCCACTTATCTGGTTGGAAGGGAGTGGGGAAGAAATACCCCACCATCTGTCTCCTTGGACCCTTCAGCTTCCTTGTTATGCCTCCTATTGGCTGAACCTTTTGACAGCTGCAGGGCAAAGGAGCTCAGGTGTCAGAGTCCTTACAGGTCATTCTCTCATGGTGCAGAGTTGGTTAGAGAAAGGCAGAAAATGGGACTGGAGAGACGACTGGAAAACAACCACACAGCCCATCTATTCTTTCATTTGGATGAAGAGAATTCAAAACAAAACAGGGAAAACACAATGTCCTATCAGTTTCTCTATGTCGATTCAATCATATTCTCACTTGGAGCTAAACTATAATATTAACCACTGTCAGTGGTTATTTTCACATATGTGTTCTTTCACATAAAAGGAAAAGGGGAGAAGTAAATAATTATAAAATATGGATGCTAGAGAACCATTTCCATAACTGGTCATGAAGTCTTATTTGATAATGAGGGCAGCGCTCCCCCCGTCCTTCCATTCTCTGAGCATCTTGGCCTGCATTACTTTTTTTTTTTTTAACTGGTGGGAGGGATCCAAACTTTCATTCATACTAAGGATCTATCTTTATTAGTTGGCTATGGTTTCTCACTGACTATTGTCATTAGACATGGGAGTTCTCTGGGATCTGAACATAGTCATTCATGCCTTATTATGTAGCAGCAACACAAGTTTCCCTTCGTAATCAGGACCAATCACCAATCAGTACAGTGACCTTTTCCTCTGTCTGTTGGAGAGCAATCTTTGCTTCCAAATTACTAGCACATGCCTGTGTGTTTACTGACGAAAGTATATTCCTTTGCCCAGCCAAGCCTCTCAGTTCACCAGTCTAAAGGTTGAGGGGATGGTATGCAAAACTTTCGTAGGTGGGTCATTATTGGTAATGGAAGGGAGATCATACCCACTTCTGCTCCTTGGTTTTAGACAGTGTGTTCTGTCTATAAGAGAAATGACACCATATATTGGCTGATGGTTTAAGATACATCTGTATCCTAGGTAAGTGTCCTAACCTCTCAAGGTGTTGTCACCAGCTAGGGACCTCAGCTTTCTTTTTTTTTTTTTTAAGATTTTATTTATTTATTTGACAGACAGATCACAAGTAGGCAGAGAAGCAGGCAGAAAGAGAGCGGGGGGAAGCAGGCTCTCTGCTGAGCAGAGAGCCTGATGCGGGGCTCGATCCCAGAACCCTGGGATCATGACCTGAGCCAAAGGCAGAGGCTTTAACCCACTGAGCCACCAAGGCACCCCCAGGGACCTCAGCTTTCTATCAAACTACCTACTTCTTGGTAATGAGGCATGTGGTAAAATTCAGGGATATGGCTACACTGTCCTACTGCTTTTACTGCAAAATCAGTTTCTTGGTACTAGATGATGTAATACATGATCCAAAGGCAAAGGATGGGGCATTCTAGGAGTCCATGGTAGTAATGCTAGTAGAAGCAAAGGAGGCAAGGAAGGCAATATCATATCTAGAAAAAGGATCTATTCCAATAAGAACAAATAACTGTGACTGTGGAAAAAGGATCCAATACAAACAACTTTTCCCACATGTAGCCAATAGGAGGGACCAGCTAGGGAATTATGCTGTATGGGGACTCATGGTGGCTTCTGCTGTTGGCATGTTGGACATTCAGCAGTGGTGGTAATCAGATCAAATCTAATAAGAGATGTTTGTATTATTCCACTCCTGTGTGGACCCCACTTCTGCTACCATCATCTCTACATATATGGTTCTACTATAGAAGTACAGATATGGCTGTAGAAAGAGGTATCTGACAACTAGAGAATGGGTTCCATTCTCCAAGGTGTCCACCTCATTATTAAGGGCATCCTCTTGACTGAATGCCTCTGGGGAGCCTAGGTTACACATATATTAACAGGCTTCTAATTCCCAGAGGCGCATACTGATATCCTTGTAATCAGTCTTCCAGTCTTGAATTCTTCAGGTCTCTGACCAACTATTTTAGGTATTATCTGTAGATCAGTGCAGATTCATGAGTAAGGCCATTGGTCGTATTTACCAAAGTTGTACCCATTGGGAGAATTTTCTTTGGCTACTGGTTTTTTTTTTCATTGTGGTAAAAATATGTTTAACACAAAATCTAGCACTTTAATCATTGTAAGGGAATCTGTGATCTTAAGTACATTCACATTGTAGTGCAACCACCATCACCATCCATCTCCAGAAATTTTTCAGCATCCCTAACTGAAACTATGTACCCATTA